AGGGCGACGCGGTCGATTTTGGTGTCTGGCCGAGTTCGCTATTTCGGTAACTCGGCAGTAATAGCAGTCTTGCTGTCACAGGGATAGTTTCGATGGGGAATTTATGCCCTCCTCGTCCTCAACAAGTTCTCAATGTCTTTCAGGTGATTCATTTGCTGGCTAATTTATATTAAAGAATGAAACCCAGACGGTGTGATGGAGAATTAAATTCCCCATCAATCGATTCCCGTTGCATCCCTTAATCTCTGTAACAAAAAAATACAAACTACGACAAATGTCATGAACCAGTGAGAAAAATAATTTTCTTCTCGGCGCACACTGACTTTTCACCATTCGCCCGCGAATTAAAAATTTGTCTCTTCCCTCCTAATTGAAATTAAGGGATGAAAAAAGGCTGTTTGACGGAGAACTAAATTACCCATCAATTAATACTCTTTCATCCTTTAATCTCTGTAAAAAATGGAAGAAACTGTCATGGAAATCACAGCGCAGTAAGAAAAATAATTGTTTTGTGGCGCACAGTGACTCCCGGTAATTAAAAATTCACCTCTCCCCTCCTAATTGAGATTAAGGGATGAAAAAACGGCAGTTCGACGGAGAATTTAATTCTCCATTAATTAACCATCTTTCAACCCTTAATCTCGGTAACAGAAAAATAAAAACTGCCATGAAAGTCAGGGGCCAGTAAGAAAAATAATTATTTCGCGGCGCACACTGACTTTTCACCATTCGCTCGCGAATTAAAAATTCACTCCTTCCCTCCTGATTGAGATTACGGGATGAAAAAAGGGCAGTTCGACGGAGAATTAAATTCTCCATTAATTAACCCTCTTGTGCGCCAAGAAGAAAATTATTTTTCTCACTGGCCCATGACTTTTGTCGTAGTTTGTATTTTTTTGTTACAAAGATTAAGGGATGCAACGGGAATCGATTGATGGGGAATTTAATTCTCCATCACACCGTCTGGGTTTCATTCCTTAATATTAATTAGCCAGCAAATGAATCACCTGAAAAACATTAAGAACATGTTGAGGACGAGGAGGGCATAAATTCCCCTTCGAAACTATCCCTGTAACAGGGGGACTGCTATTACTGCCGAGTTACCAAAATAGCGAACTCGGCCAGACACCGAAATCGACCGCATCGCCCTCTCTGCCCGGATCTGGGCCTCTACTTTAGTCTATATAATATTATAGTCTATATAAAAAAAAAAAAATTCTAAGAGAATTAGAATTTAGAGAGAAAAAATTTCCGCTTCACCCAGCCGGGAATCGAACCCGGGTCTCCCAGATACGCGCCGGGCACTCTTACCGACTAAGCTACCGGGAACCACAGAAATTCACTCTCAAATTCATCTCATACACCGCCTAACCTCCTTTAGGCATTAAAGGAGGCCTCTACTTTAGTCTCTTTGCTTCTCCATAAGCGCTTGCAATCTCCCCTATAATCTCTGCTGCCAACGCTACCGGTAACAGCCAGAAAAAAGGGAAGAAGAGAGAGAAAGAGAGAGAAACAGACATTATGTTCGTTGCCAAATTTGACGAACAAATCTAACGCTGAGAGAAAATAAAATCGCGAAATATTACATTATGATGGTTGCTATGGCGGATATTTTTATTTATTATTGATTCATCGAGAAAGTAAAAATATCTTTAGAAAGCTCATAGTCAACTTATATAATGTAACTGACGACGGATTTCGCGAAAAATTCTCGTGTTACGAGAAAAAAAATAAAAACCATTCGGGGAGTAGTTGTGTCGTGTATATGATTACGCAATAGCATCGACCTATGAAGTCACACCGGTAAAACGTAAACTTGGGCGATTCGCTGTCGCGTTTCTTGATATTCATATCTCGGGGAGTATTTAACTTAGAGAAAGGAATATAACACAGGGTGTCAATCTATAATTCTAAAATTCTGCACAATATTAGACAGTACATCTTGATAATTTCTACGTAATTTTCAAGATATTTGCATTCATGACTTAAAAATGGCCGAAGTCAGTAATATGTTAACAAAGTCACAAACAAACGCGATTTTTTAGAAGATCATGATCTATCTGAAAATTTGATTGGTGTATTCTTCCATGATTTTCTTCGTAAAGAGAAAAAGAATACAAATATTTATTTTACTCTCCAGAGAGAGAGACAGAACTGGAAATTTAAGGATGAATGTAAAAACAATGTTGAAATATTTTGAGAACTATTGAAATTTCGAATTGATTCTCCTATCTTTAAATACTCGCAGTTTGAATGAGAAATGATCAACTGAACGAAATGAGAAATGATCAACTAAACGAAATCAACGAAATAGAAATGAATGAAATAACAAAAATATCATGGTCTTATAATGGGTATTATGAGACCCATTAGAGATGAAAAAAATCATTCTGGATGGTGGTAATTGATGATCCACAGGTAAAAATTTGTTTCTCAATTCTAAGTGTGCATATTCACCTTGGAAAAGAGGTAAACAAAACGTCACACGAATTCCTATTAATGTTTGTATTTTCGCATAGAAGCGTCAAAAAAAGATGAGAAATCGGCTAAAAAAAAACATATGTTTTAAAAAAAAAAAACACGACAAGTACGTACCTTGGAATTCATTTGTTGAAAAAATCATACAAAAAAAATTAAATCATAAAAATGTTGCAAGTACTTTTTTTCCAATCTACAAGACCAGGTACACCACTCTACAAGAGTTGACAAATTAAATAAAAAAATGTAAAAGAGAAAAAACGGGGAATGGAAAAACAAAAAAATTTAATATTCAAGAAAAAAACGTACTTGGTGCATGAGCCCAGTGGTTAACTTCGGCGCATTTGAAAAGCACCAAGCACGTTTTTTTCTTGAATATTAAATTTGTTTGTTTTTCAATTCACCGTTTTTTCTCTTTTACCTTTTTTTATTTACTTTGTCAACTCTTGTAGAATGGTGTAACTGGTCTTGTAGACTGGGAAAGAAAGAACTTGCAACATTTTTATGATTTCATTTTTTTGTATGATTTTTTCAACAAATGAATTCCAAGGGACGTACTTGTCGTGTTTTTTTGCAAAATATATTATTATGAGAGTTGATTGTTGTACCCCCAACGTAAAGTATCTGTTGTATGGAATGAAATCATGCGCTTATCATCCTCCCAACTCAACACCAATTTTTTTGAACGAACGTGTGCACTTCACGTTTCTTACTGCGGATTAAATATTGATTTCTCACAATATGCTTATTATCGAGGAGGCAACTCTTATAATCGTTAAATGTAATTTTCCTGAGTGTGGCGGCTTTAACGCCCTTAGCTTTCTTTTTAGCACCATCATTATTCAACCTTCTAAATGCGTATGTTTTCGCTCGTAGGCCAACAAATTCAACCATAATTCTTCCATTATTCTTATCTTTCATGAGACCTAATACTTTTTTGTTGACTAGTGGTATCCCATACTCATTGTCATTTTTATAATCAGATGTGTCGAGCAGTTGGAGATCTTGTTTGGTACATTCGTAGATATTTGGTGCACGAAACAAATATAGCAAACTGTCTGTATCGGTATACATCAATTTCGGAGAATCTCCAAATTTAAATTTTGCATAGTTGTTATGAAAATCATACCCAATGGTTTTTGATATATCCAGAATTGTGAAACCAATCTATATTGGCCCCACCATATAGATTGGTTTCTTTAAATATACTGATTAGCCTGTTTCAGTATCCAATGATCGCCATTTTTTCTCACCTCGTTCGCACGAAAATGTTGCATTTTCGGGTGAAGAAAAACATCCATGAACCGGCGCGCTGTCGGATGATTCTTCGCGTGGCTCATCGAGAAAAACTTTTTCCCATAAGAATAACATGTAAAAATCGATCTCTTTCGAATAAGATTTTAATTATGTAATCAATAGTTACTTGATCACAATAATTGTTAATAAGGATTGTTAAAATATATATCATTTACGGAGAGGGATGAAAAAAACGACAGATATGACTGGGGTAGAGTGCGGAAGTGAAGAGAAAATTAAAATTGTCTCAAGTTGTTGCAATAACGCATTAAAAATGAGGGGAACAATCTAAAAAGAGTCATATTACTTCAAAATAAGACGGAAGTTCATTGCAACTTATGTCTCCATTATTCTCAATGTTTTTTCGGTACAATTCATATAACACTTCACGTAATAATTCAGTCGCTGAGGCATCTGTGCCTAAACCGTTTTCTGATGACTTGAAATGGTCATAATATCCATTGCATTGCATTGATTGACTGCTCACTGAATGACTTCAATCACTTCTTCTTTGATAATGCTCGTTTGGAAAAATCTTGATTATTTTTTCGATAATCATGGACCAACTGTAAAAGATATTGTTTTTGCTCCTCGTCTCGAGTAATATCGTTGTTATATTCCTCCATTAATACTACCCCACGCTCCGCAGTATCATTTACCACTGTTTCGGCGAGAGTTAATCAAAAAAAAGAACCGATGGAGAGCCGGGATTCGGGAAAGGGTTGAGAAGTTCACCATAAGAATAAATGTCACTGTGCCCGTGGGTAGAGTCACAACAAAGTCTTTCACAATATATACACAAAACTCAAAAAAATATATGTGTTAAATTCAACACTGTCAATTAATAATTGAGTCGAGACACGGTAGAAATTTGTCACGGTTGAGATGTTCACAATAGTTTGAGATATAATCGCGGAGCGAGATTTGCACGATGCACACTTGTCACGAGGCGACTAGAGAAGACAGCGGAAGTGACGAGATGGGACAAGTGTCGCGGCAGGTGCCGTTGGTCCCAATTAATTGGACACGGTCGGTAACCCAGGTCCGTGTCCAGGAGGTGCTGCCGCTCGTGGTCAGTGGACCAACTTGCCGTGACGTGAGGCTGAAGCCTCAACATTCTCCCCCCGTCAGCAACTTGTTGGTGACCAGGTTCTCGAGAAAGCCATGATAGAGCCTGAAACACTAAACAGAGAAGATCAACAAGGCCGACTAAAACCAGCATCTATTCAGCTGGTAGAGATGGGCAACGGAACCAGCTTAGAGATTGGCCTAGTCAGCGACGTCATTGCCGTCTTGGTGGTCACAACTCTGGAGAGGCCATCCTTCCCAGGATGTAGAGCTGTGATACGTGCGAGGGGCCACTTCGACGGCAGGAACCTTTCATCGGAGAGAAGAACCAGAGATCCGATGCGAATATCGTTGGACGGATGATGCCACTTGGAGATGGACTGCAGCTGCTGCAGATATCCTGTAGACCACTGCTTCCAGAAGTACTGCAGCCTCTGCTGGATAAGCTGCCATCTAGAGATCCGTCCAATGTTGAGATGATCCAGTGAAGGTTCCGGTAGAGTTATTGGAGCTTCTCCAATCAAAAAATGCCCCGGAGTGAGACACAACACGTCGTCGGGGTCTTCAGAAAGACCCTGTAGAGGTCTGGAGTTGAGCACAGCTTCAATCTGGGTAAGCAGCGTAGAGAGTTCCTCGAACATCAGTGTAGTATCCCGAATCGTTCGAGAGAGATGATACTTCACTGATTTTACCGCTGCTTTCCATTTTCCTCCAAAATGAGGGGCCCCAGGTGGATTGAAAGACCACCGAGTACCGTCTTGCAGGCAAACTGCTGTGAGATGCTGGAACTCCTTTAATCCCGCGGAGAACAACCTCTTCAGCTCCTTGTCTGCACCAACGAAATTCGTTCCACAATCCCTGAAGAGGTTCCTGCGACGACCTCGACGACTCACGAATCTCCGATAGGCAGCGATGAACCCATCAGCAGAGTAATCGGTGGCAGGTTCCAGATGAAGTGCTGACGTGGCCATGCAAACGAAGATCACTAACCAACCCTTTTGGGTTTTATGACCATGCCCCTTCCACTTCTTGATGGACACTGGTCCAGCGTAATCTACACCAGTGTTAGAGAAGGCACGTCCTGGAGACAGACGTGCCGATGGAAGCTGCCCCATCAGTTGCTGAGCACGTACTCCACGTTGGCGGGCACATTCCACGCACTTGAGAATGAAGGATCTTACTGGCGCTCTTCCTCCAATAATCCAGTAAGACCTCCTGAGATAAGTCAACATGGATTGAGTTCCACCATGCAATGTTCACTGATGAGAGTCCCTAATGAGAAGTTCAGCCAGCTCGGAATCTTTAGGGACAATCGCTTGTTGTTTACTCTCTGGGTGCAAGTTAGAAAACTTCAATATCCCGCCCACTCGGAGAACACCTTCATGGTCTATGAAGGCAGTCAGTTTGGTCAACGGATGAGACCTCCCAAGTTGTTGACCACGATAGATCATGCTGGACTCCGACTGCAGATAATGAGCCTGAGTGGCCCTGACCCAATACAGCTTAGCTGCCTCGCTGCCATCAGGACTGAGTGGATCCACGAGAGTTTCACCTGGTTTCCTCCGCATCCGAGCAACAACACGTTGACAAATTGCTGTTATGCGCAGCAATTTGTAGAGAGAGGAGTACTTGGTGATGAGATCCCAGAGAGTAGAGCCCATCGAAACGGTAAATATGGATCCGGGTTTCTCTTCCAGATTTGCTGACGGATCCAGTTTGGCATTCTCTTTTGGCCACTGAGAGGAGTCTAACTGCAGCCACTTTGGACCCGTCCACCACAGTTTATGAGCACTGAGTTGAGCCACAGTGATGCCCCGAGAATCACAATCAGCAGGATTCTCCTTACCGCTGATGTATCGCCACTTCGCTCCTGGAATCAGTTCCTGTATGCTGGCTACCCTGTTATGCACATATTCCTTCCACCGGGAGGGATGAGAGCTGGTCCACGCCAGGGTAATAGCTAAGTCTGTCCACAGGAACACAGGAGCGTCATCAAGGTTGAGTTAAACACGCACATACCTTGTGAGTTTCGCCAACATGACTGCGGCGTTGAGCTCAAGTCTCGGGATGGTGAGCTGCTTGAGAGGAGCCACCTTGGTTTTAGCAGTAGCTAACGAGATACTCACGCCATCCAAGCTTGTCACCTTCACATATACCACCGCAGCCATCGCTGTTCGCGAAGCGTCTGAGAACCCGTGTATTTCCACCAGAGCATCCTTCTTCACTCCGAGCCAACGAGGAATGGAGATATTTTCGACCTGAGACAGCTCCTTACGGAATTGGGTCTACTTATCCGAGATTTGTGGTGAAAGCGCATCATTCCAGTCAAGATTCTCAACCCAGAGACGCTGTAGGAGTGCTTTTGCCTTAATCACCACAGGAGAAAGTAGACCTAGAGGGTCGAACAAGTGAGCTATTTCAGACAACATATTCCTCTTCGTCACCTTTGAGTTGGCCGGAAGGTGGATTGAGAACTTGAATTGGTCTGTGTTTGGATCCCACTTCAGACCAAGAATCTTCGTGATGGAATCCTCTGGCGGCTTGTGATCCTGAGAGATACCTTCTGGATTCAGTGATCTGAATAGAGACGGACTGTTGCTATGCAACTTTGCTAGAGGGAAACCACCAGCTAAGCAAAGATCCCTCACTTGCTTGGAGACTTCTAGAAGATCACTCTCCTCTTCAGCAGCACCACAGATGTCATCCACGTATCTTCCACTGGTCAACGGAGAGATTGCTAGAGTAAAACGATGTCCTTCGTCCGCGACCAGTTGGTTGAGAACTCGACAGGCTAAGAATGGGGCCGATTTAGTCCCGTAGGTCACGGTGGTGAACTGGTAGGTGTTAATCTGACCTTGAGAATCCCGCCACAGGATCTGTTGAAGAGGCCAGTCCTCACGATGCACCTTGATTTGACGGAACATCTTCGTGATGTCCGTCATGAAAATGTACCTGCTCCGCCTGGATGAGAGCAGCACGTCAGAGATATTCTTCTGCAGTTTGGCTCCAGTGTGTTGGATGTCATTGAGAGACACCCCTGAGCTGGTCTTACTAGAGCCATTGAAGACTACCCTCAGCTTCGTTGTTTCACTACTTTCCCTGAGAACACCATGATGAAGAAAGTAGTACATAGGAGTTGACGAATAAGCTTGCCTCTGAACAGAACACCGAGTGGAGACACGAGCCGACTGCTTCTCCTCAGGGACCCTCAACCCTCCTGAAGCCGAAGCCCCATGTGCCAAGGTCATCCCCTCAGATCGACAGCCGAACTTCAAGCTCCCGGCATTCCCCGAACCAGTTAAGGCTGGAACACGCACCATGTGTCCCACATCTTCGTACTCCTTGAGAAAAACACTATATAGCTGACCGGTCCGTTGATCCCTCTCCATCTCTGGAACTGGCTGGAGAGACACGCTTTAGCCCGACCATAAGAGTCGCCAAGCTCTGTCGGAGAACGTGCAAGAGGCAGGCGAACCACATGGTGCCCTGAGCTGTCTCGTGAATGGGTGCGCTGGAAAAACTCCTCACATTCTGCCTCTTCTTTCGTGAGATCACTATCTTCGGCTTTTGGGACCTTCTCCTGCAGCCAGAACGAAGTGAGAAGGTTGTAGAGTTCCTCGTTGCTGACTGCAATGTGATTAGAGCTGGCTACCATTGGAATCACCGCTAAAGTAGGTCCTAGTACCACCCAACCGAAGATAGTGTGCATTGCTATAGGGGAGTCTGAAGGCCCGTTGATGGTCTGTGGCTCCACAATTGATCCGAAGAAATCCGCGCCAATGAGAAGGTCAATAGGTCTTGGCTCCATGTATTCCGGATCAGCTAACTCCAGTCCCTCGAGATGGGCCCAAGCTTGAGTATTCGAGACTGCGAACGACGGCAACGATGATGTGAGATGGTCAAGAATGTAGGCCTTAATCTNCATCCCAGGCTAGAATGAACGAGTCTTGAGCTACCGGCAGAGTTGAGATCAACTGTTTTGGCCCGCCAGCAAGAGAAGTCAAGAGATAATGGAATTGCTCGACCGTAGACAGGTTATAGTTGCCGACGACCATCGAGAGGAAAAGATCTTTGAAGGGTGTCCACTCGGAGAAGTCCCCTGAGAAGGTAGGCAGCGAGATCTTCGGTAACTGCCTTTGAGTCACCTGAGCAGACGGAACTGATGCAGCGGGTCGACGAAACGACTCCGAGAGGTCCGCGGTCTCATCAATGGCCTTGATTNCGAGATCTTCGGTAACTGCCTTTGAGTCACCTGAGCAGACGGAACTGATGCAGCGGGTCGACGAAACGACTCCGAGAGGTCCGCGGTCCTATCAATGGCCTTGATTAGCACAATGAATGACGTACGAACCGTGGAGTACCGCTGCAAACAGATATCGTATACCCCCTGCTTCACGTAANTTTGATCCACCAATACCAACGACAGGTAGTAAAGCTGGAGACTTCAACAAACCTAGCTTTACCACAAGACTATCTGTAACAAATGATAACTCAGATCCAGGATCCAACAGCATCCGAACTTCACAGCAGCAGTCATTCTCTGAAACGAGGGAAGCTAGCGCTGTTGCGAGAAGAAGACCTGGTCTGAGTTGAGATGACGATTCATGAACTGATAATGCTACAGATGNTTCACGTGCTTCTCCTCGAATTGGCTCCAGTAATTCTCCAGGATATCCAGCTTCGACTGCAACTCCGTGAGTGAGAGCTCCTTAACTGCCGCTGACAATGATTCCGTATAGAGAGACTCAATAAACTTTGCCCTACTGGCTTGAATAAATATTCTCCCTGCGAAAGATATGCTCACCCGATAGCAAATACAAATTCAGCAAGCAGAGACAGCACCAAACAAAAAAAAATCGTAGAGAACGCAACAGTGGAGAAAGCACAGCCAATAGCGGAACAAAATTGAAATCAAGNATTCTGAAGTTACCGGAGCCGCTGTCGTTGAAGTCGTTGGTTGAGAAGATCACTGCTCCACTGATGAAGGCCCCGGAACAGCGGACTGTATAGGACGAGTACCAGACTGAGACCACTGACCTTGAGACTTCAACTGGTCTGGTTGAAATATCTCCAGAGGACCATTCTGAGGGCGTGTGATGTGGATCATTGAGTGGTGACGCTTGTGACACACAACGCACGTTTTTGTGGTCCTACAGGCACGAATGGAGTGCTTCCCCAAGCAGTTGAAGCAGAGGTACTTCTTTTCGACAAACTCCTTCCTCTTTTCCGGCGANAATTGACTTCCCTGTGAGAAGGTTCGATGGCAGCAGTGATGGTCGTAGAACTTCAGCAAACAGCGAGAAGAACAAAAAAATCTGCTTCTGAAGTGCTGGANAATATCTCCAGAGGACCATTCTGAGGGCGTGTGATGTGGATCATTGAGTGGTGACGCTTGTGACACACAACGCACGTTTTTGTGGTCCTACAGGCACGAATGGAGTGCTTCCCCAAGCAGTTGAAGCAGAGGTACTTCTTTTCGACAAACTCCTTCCTCTTTTCCGGCGACAACTGNCGCCCCAGGTTGAGTGTCACTGCTGAAGTCCCATAATTCAGTGGCGCGCACAAATATCAAAAGTCTGAGATGAGCACCACTGCACTGCTACGTCACGCAGGCGAGGAGCCACGTGGGAGGAGTCGATGGGCGGAGTCGGTGGGTGGAGCAAAGGAGGTGGAAGCGACACACGAATTCCCGCGCTTTTCCACCGACACCACGCGCACTAATGTTTCACCAAAAACTCAATGTTCACTTTTCCCGATTTATCCGGCTCGAAAGACCAAATGTTTTGGCGAGAGTTAAACAAAAAAAAGAACCGATGGAGAGCCGGGATTCGGGAAAGGGTTGAGAAGTGCACCATAAGAATAAATGTCACTGTGCGCGTGGGTAGAGTCACAACAAAGTCTTTATATTGCACAAAATATAGACAAAACTAAAAAAATATATGTGTTAAATTCAACACCGTCAATTAATAATTGAGTCGAGACACGGTAGAGATTTGTCACGGTTGAGTTGTTCACAATAGTTTGAGATATAATCGCGGAGCGAGATTTGCACGATGCACACTTGTCACGAGGCGATTAGAGAAGACAGCGGAAGTGACGAGATGGGACAAGTGTGGCAGCAGGTGCCGTCGGTCCCAATTAATTGGACACGGTCGGTAACCCAGGTCCGTGTCCAGGAGGTGCTGCCGCTCGTGGTCAGCGGACCAACCTGCCATGACGTGAGGCTGAAGCCTCAACAACCACCCTAAGTTCTTTCAACAAAATTACGGCATTTTTATATCCCTCATCCGTTGCCCATTTCTCTGGATGTAAATCGAGGAACTCATGGGACAAACCCCACTGTTCAAATAAGAAGAGGGACCTCTCAGAAACGAAATCACTGAGGTTTCTAAAACGTAACGATTTCAATTGTGCCTCTTTGATAATGAATCTTTCGGCATTGTTGCTATTAGTAGCTCGTTCCCGTAGATATTGTACCATTTGAATTTTATCGTGAGAGGATACCGAATCATCGAACAGTGCGAGTCCAATGAGTTCCTCTGACAAATATCATAAACGTTTTGCCAACTTCGATCTCACCGTAACAGATACTTTCTTATTTATGGTTTCATGATCAATCAAAGCATGCAATAATTTCAAATCATTATTTGGGGCTTTGATAGAAAGTGGTGCATCAAACCACGACTGAATATAGAATCTTCCAATGAAAAGACACATCTCTCGAAGGGCTTTCTCTCCTTGACTTTGAAGAGTGAATTCATTCCTGAATAGATATATTTTCAGTGAATAAATAGCCTTCGATACGAATCGTGCATGATGCATGGTGCATCGCAAGTGTAATTGTTTGTTGGTAATTCTCCAAGAAAAATCTTCGCTAATTCCAATAATTCTCGATAGTCCCCCCTTGGTTGATGCATCTGGAACATTAACGAATATTCATTTCAATATGAATGACATCATTGAACTTCGTTCAAACTGGCAGTTCAATCGTCAATACCTCCAATTGGTTGCTGATAAAATCCAAAAGTTGAGTTTTATCTACGTCTTGCAGTCTTTTGACGACAATTCCATCTGTCATGCCTCCTTCGAACTTTGATTTATCAATTTTAATCCAAGCTTTGGAAAAATTGTTGAAAATTGGTACGTTGGGACCAGTTGTTTTACCGAAATACAATTCAAAAACATTCCTCAACAGCAACTCATTGATGTGATGATGGCACGGGAAGTAAAGCAAGGGTCTTCCCAAGGCTTTTTCGAGCAAAACACAAGTCCCGTTATATCGCCCTAGAAACAGGGTATGTCGAAAACATGATGAATAATCGTTCGATTTGTGACAAAACAATAGTTTACCTGTATTAGTGCTGGTTGTGTCAAAACATAAAGCATTCACGCGATCTGTAACTTCATAATTCTGGACAGTATCGATAATTGCTTCTGCTTGCTCGGCTCCTGTCCCAGAATCAAGTTTCGGTACACCGAGCAAATGCTCTGTATTCAATCCAGAGACGATAATAGGGAGTCTGTCCACGATTCCCGATCCTGAAATATCGGGCAGGAGTTTTCCGTCAAAATGAACTACTAAAGACTGCAACTCGGAGATTTTGTTTCAATTGTTGTGCGAATCGGCCTCGATGTGTTGCTCTCCTCCTGGAAATTATACTATGACTAAAGTGTAGTCATTCAAATCAAGGCCGGTACTGACCAATGTTGCCGCAATGATACGAGTAGCTTTTCTTCCACTTAAATTCGCCCCATCTAAGGCATGCGAAACACTTGGAGTGATGATTTCAATGTTCTTAGCAGGTGGAAGTTTCAACTCGTCCTCGGAATTTGAAACTGTCCGTTTCACACCACAAATACCGTAAGAATCATCTGAATCCATGCTCGACATCGACGACATTCGATTGCTCAACTGACTCAACTCTAATTGAAGAAGAAATGAAATTTATCAATAATGATATGACCAAAACATATATTACTTAAATTTTCGAATAGGAAATAACTTCAATAGCAAAATACTTGCGTCATCAGGGTTGTTATTTATTTGATCGTAAATATCCGGTATTTCTTCCATTGGCTCAGAACTTCTTTAAGCCAGTGGGTCATCGTGATGGTCTAACTCACTTGACTCTTCATGGTAAATAAAATTCCATCAAATTTGTTAATAATTATAATTTATCCATCTTGGAAGCAAGTCATTCTATCCGAAAGTGTCAAAAGAAGTGATTTGCAGTTGACCTAATTTCAGATGAAGAAATTTGTTTCCGAGATTTTCTTCGAATTGACTCACTTTTCAGATGCTCGATGATTCGAAAATTTATGAAAAAAATATCTGTTGCATGCTTTCGGCACTAAATTGAAATACACTTAGATCATCTTACCATTATCGTTGCCATGCATATCATTTCCATTTTTGTCGCTCGCATTAGGAGGACAGTATTCCTGATCTCCTGGATTACATTTTATATTTCCCTCGAAATCGTGAGGAACACTGGAACCTTCAATAACCATTTTATTCGTAATCGATTCGTCACTACTCCATTCAATGGAATTTCAAGTAATTTCTATGAATAGTTGCTGTCATAAATATGGAATTCGGATACAGAATCTAGTACCTGTTTGGTTGGCATCATGCTTACAATTGTCCGAATTATTCACATCAATTTCAATCAACGAACTCCTGATAAAGCCGCGTCGAGTACTTTTATGTTGTGATTCTAAAAATTGGCGGCCATCGTTTCCCATCGTCACCAATGCATTTTGTTCAGCAATATCGAATAATGCATCAAGACGACGTTGAAAATTGTCTTCTTTTTCATTCTGAGTCATTGAGTTTCTCCTGGAGCAAATTTTGGGTAATCATTTCCACTCATCGTAAAGGTTTTCAAGCGTTTTGGTAATAATCTCGATTCGTCGTGTCGGGAT